AGTCATAGTGACCCTGTGCACAACAAAATGAAACACTGCCCGATCCTGGGCCAACCTCACAATTGTTGCCACACTTGAGCCCATTGATGCTGCTACTTTGCCAATCTATCTCGCTGGGGTTCTTCCTCTTTTTCTCTGACCTTATCAAAAATGATATTCTTCTCCAGTGACTGGTCCCTCCTGACAATATGTCCAAAATATGAGAGACGAAGTTTGGCCATCCTGGCCTCCAAAGAGCACTCTGGCTGCACTTCTTCCAAAACAGATCTATTGGTTCTTTTGGCAGCCCATGGCACTTTCAATATTCTCCTTCAACACCGTAACTCAAATGCATCAATTCTTCTAAGATCTTCCTTATTCACTGTCCAGCTTTCGCATGCATATGAGGTTATTGAAAATACCATGGCTTGGGTTAGGTGCACCTTAGTGCTCAAGCTGACATCTTTGCTCTTCAACACTTTAAAAAGGTCTTGTGCAGCAAATTTTCCAAATACAATATGTCATTTGATTTCTTGGCTGCTGCTTCCGTGAGTGTTGATAGTTGATCCAAGAAGAAGGAAGTCTTCGACAACGTCAATCTTTTCTCCTTTGATAAGAATGTTGTTTATTGGTCCAGTGGTGAGGATTTTTGTTTTCTTTATATTCCTGAAGGCTGTGTTCTTTGAACTTCATCAGTAAGTATTTTAAGTTCTCTTCATTTTCAGCAAGCAAGGTTGTATCATCTGAGGAGCAGCTGGGGACTTCAGATCCAAAGAGGGAGAGGACTGTGTGCTGAAGACCGGTGGGTGGGGGGAGGGGCAGACTTGCAGGGTATACCCTTTGGTTGGTTGATGATTCATGGAAGGGATTGTAACCACGGCAATGATACGATATATGATACGATATATGATAGAATGAATGTAAAACTAATGTTCTCCCATGTAAACTATCACATAATTTGCAATAAAACATTTGAAAAAAAAAAAAAAAGATTGTATCATCTGCATATCGCAGGTTGTTAATGAGTCTTCCTCCAATCCTGATACCACGTTTTTCTTCATATAACCCAGCTTCTCTGATTATTTGCTCAGTATAATTTGGTAGAATTCTTCAATTTCATCATCACTGGCTTTAGTGGTTGGCACATAAATTTAAATAATAGTGGTGTTAACTGGTCTTTTTTTGTAGGCGTATGGATATTATCCTATCACAGACAGCGTTGTACTTCAAGATAGATCTTGAAATGTTCTTTTTGATGATGAATGCGACACCATTCCTCTTCACTTCATCATTCCAGCATAGTAAACTATGTGATTATCAGATTCCAAAAGGCCTACCCCAGTCCATTTCAGTCACTGATGCCTAGTAGGATAGCAATGTTTGTGTGTTCCATTTCATCTATGACAACTTCTAATTTTCCTAGATTCATGCTTCATACACATTATGTTCCAATTATTAATGGATGTGTGCAGCTGTTTCTCCTTATTTGGAATTATGCCCCATCAGCAAATGAAGGACCCCAAAGCATTACTCTATTGACGTCATCACAGTCAACTCTATTTTGAGGAGGCAAGCCTTCCCGTCACATTTTGATGCCTTCCAACCTGAGCAGCTCACCTTCCAGCAATATATCTGACAATATTTTATTTAGTGTTCATCGTGTTTTCAACAATATTCTGGTGCCATCTGACCATGTTCCACTGCTATTCATAAGGTTTCAGTGACTAAATATTCAGAATTAGTCTGTCTCTCCTTCCTCTGAGTCTCTGGAAGTTCAACTGAAATCTGTCCACCCTGGGTGACCCTGTTGGCATTCAAAATACCGGTGGCATAGCTTCCAGCATCACAGCAACACAAAAGCCTCCACAGTAGGACAAACAGACAGACGAGAGATGGGAAGAAGTTGGTAGAATTCTTCAATTTCATCATCACTTGCTTTAGTGGTTGGTGTATAAATTAGAATAATTATGGTCTTCCCTGTAGGTGTATGGGTATTATCCCATCACAGACAGCATTATACTTCAACATAGATCTTGAAATGCTCTTTTTGATGATGAGTGTAACACCATAGCTCTTGAATTTGTAGTTCCTGGCATAAGAAAACATATGATTGCCAAATTCAAAATGGCCAATACCAGTCCATTTCAGCTCACAAATGTCAAGATATCTATATTTTTGCAATTCTTTTTTTCTTTTTCTTTTTTTTTTTTTCATTTCATTTTTGAGAATTTCCAGCATTGCTAGATTCATACTTTATACATCAATGTTCCAATTAATGGATATTTGCAGCTGTTTCTTTTCATTTTGGGTTGTGCGTCATCAGTAAATGAAGGTCCCAGAAACTTTACACATTCGTGTCATTATGATTAATTCTACTTTGAGATGACAGCTCTTCCACAGTTATATTTTGAGAGATTTTCAACCTGAGGAGCTCATCTTCTGGCATTATAACCGACAAATGTCCGTTGCTATCCATAAGGTTTTCGGTGCCTAATCATTCAGAAGTGATCCACCTCTTTCTGTCTTACCCGAGAAGCTCTGCAGAAACCTGTCCACCTTGGGTGGCCCTCTGCTTGTATTTAACTTACCGGTGGCAAAGCTTCCAGCAAACAGCCACTACAGTACAGAGAAGTGGTGAAAATTGGGCCACCAAAAGAACAAATAGATCTGTGTTGGAAGAAGTACAACCAGAATGCTCCTTGGAAGCCAGGATGGCCAGACTTCATCTTTCATACTTCAGACATATTATCAGGAGGGACCAGTCCCTGGAGAAGGACATCATTATTTGATAAAGTGGAAAGTTAGAGATAAAGAGGAAGACCCCAACGAGATGGATTGGCACAGTGGCAGCATCAATGGGCTCTAAAGTAGCAGCAATTGTGAAGTTGGTCCAGGACCGGGCAGTGTTTCGTTCTGTTGTGCACAGGGTCGCTATGAGTCGGTACCAACTACATGACACCTAACAACCACAAGCATTTCTAAAATTTGAATAAACAGATTTCTCTTTAAAGCTACTTGCTCTTGGTATTTCTGGTACAGTATCACTAGTTAAGACGCCTGTTACTGCAAACTCTGAATGGCCAATTGATTATCAAGGTTTCAAACACTAGCTAGCATAAGCAGTTTGGCACTCAACTGTTAGCCTGAGAAAAAGCTCTGGTAGAGCTGTGGGTTAGACTTTGGACTTCATGTTGCAAGGTCGACAGTTCAAGCCCACAAGCCATTCCTCAGGAGAAAGATAAGGCTGTTTGCTTCTGTAAAGATTTAGTCTCCGAAACTCTACACAGAGTCACTATGAGTTGACTTGAAGGCAGTAGGCTGAGTTTGGTTTGGGTTAGCCTAAGGGTTGGTGAAGGAGCTCTGGTAGCATAGTGGTTATGAATCGGGCTGCGAACCTTAAGGTCAGCGGTTTGAAACTACCAGCCGCTCCGCGGGAGAAAGATGAGGCTTTCTGCTCCCATAAAGATTGACAGCCTCGGAAACCCTGTACAGGGTCGCTATGAGTCAGAACCGACTCCACGGCACACAACAACAACAACAACAAGGGTTGGTGAAGGAGCTCTGGTAGCATAGTGGTTATGAATCAGGCTGTGAACCTCAAGGTCAGCTAGTTTGAAACTATCAGCGGTTCTGTGGAAGAAAGATGAGGCTTTCTACTCCTGTGAATATTTATAGCCTTGGAAACCCTATACAGAGTCACTATGAGTTGAAACCAATTCCACGGCATACCACCACTACCACAAAGGGTTGGTGATTCAAACCCACCAAGGAGTCTTGCTGCGGTGCTGTGGGTTAATGCACTAGACTGCAAGGTCCTCTACATGGATACAATGGATATAATCTCACCACCTCCCCCTCCCATCTGTCAATGTACCGTTCTGTGGTGGCTGGCGTGTTTCTGTGATGCCGGAAATGATGCCACCAGTATTTCCAATACCATCAGGGTCATCCATGTTGGACAGGTCTCAGAGGAACTTCCAGATTAAGACCAGGAAGAAAGGCCTGGGGATCTATTTCTGAAAATTAACCAATGAAATTCCAGTGGATCAGAACTGAGGACTGTCTGATAGCATGCTATAAGATGAGCCCCTAATTGGCAAATGCTCAAATTACACTACATATCAATGATCATGGGGATGGCACAGAACTGGGCAACCCTTCGTCCTGTTGTGCGTAGGATATGAACTGGAGGCTGGTTCAAAGTCCGCAACAAGAAGTAACCTCCAGAACATAATAATATTCCATCCACCTCTAATAGTTATGAGTCTCAAATAAAATAACTCATGGAGTGCTATCAGACACTAGTAAAAGCTTCAATTCTAGCCAACATTGCATTTATAAATATCATGTTATCCACCACCAGGCTGCAACAATGAACTTAAACATCCACGGGAGTTTCACGACATCCACGTAAGAGTGGAATTGAAAGATATTGAAATTTTCCCACCAACATTTTGAACTGTGGCAATGATGGTAAAGTTAGCACAGGATTGGAGTATACTTGGCTCTATTGTTCTTAGGGTGCTTACGAGTGGGAACTGACGCCAGGGCACCTAACAACGGCAATGAACACTCTCCCCTGGTCTTAAATGGCTGGGTCTGAGATGCTCCATAAGTATTAGTTGAGTGAATTAAAGAGGCTAAAACAGTACAGCTAACACATATCCCAAAAGCCAGCCCCAGGAATTGCGTGGGGGACTTGGGTTGCATCTTTATTTCTTTCACAATAACATAAATAAGTTTGTTGTCGTCTGGATGCCAGTGTATTTCCAGCGACTACACCGTGCTGGACTCATGCACAATAAATACAAGTTAAATGGATTCATATAAAGTGCATCGTCTGAGATCACACCCAGAATAAATAGCAAAAGTTCGATTGGGGGCACACAGGAACGAACGGAGAGGCTCAGCCCCGTGAGGTAGAGCAGCCGGCCCAATCGGTAGAGCAGCCGGCCCAATGCGGGGCCTGAGCCAAGGAAGGCAGGATTCAGTCTCAGCCCACATGGGCAGCATCCACAGGGTCATGTGGGCCGCGGACTGGTGGGGTCTTCAGGGGACACGCGGAAAAGGCCCAGGACCGTGGCGCCCTGGGTCAGCTGCCAGGCAGAGTGAGCTTCCCCAGAGATACGCATGTGGACAGACAGACGCTGGCGGGGGCGCAGGCGGAGCAGGCAGCCACGGAAGCCTACGGCATGGTCTACTTCCGAGTCCACTTCAGAGTCCACTTCCTTTGAGTCCAAAGAGGATGCTGCAGGCAGGGTCACCCGCAAGCTCAGGGCCTCAGAGCCGCCAGGATGCTGGTGCAGGGCCACTGAGACCAAGCCTGAGCCGGAACCAAGGCCGACCACCACACGCTCCATCTCCAGGTGCAAAAAGACGTAGTAGACGCCGCCCTGGGTCACCATCAGCTCCTGTTTCTTTGTGTTATACTGCAAGTCCTGTGCCAGGACAACGCCAGCCACGCCCTGGTCGATGTACCACTTCAGGGTCCCATTGGTCAGCTGTACTGTGGGGGAGAGGGGAAAGAGGGGCACCGTGAGCAGGGCTGGGGTTCTGAGGGAACAGGAAGAGTCCCAAAAAGGGAAGGAGACCCAAGGGGAGGGAACAATGCATAATCTGGGGGAGGGGATGAACCCAGGAGTGGGGGGAGGAGATGAGACTCAAAAGGGGAGGAGCGCCAACAGGTGGGGGGGGGACCCTGAGGGAGGGAGGTGGGTTCTGACTCATAGCAAGCACCCTCATAGCACGAGGTAGAACTGCCTCATAGGGTTTCCAAGGCTGTAATCTTTACTAAAGCAGACTGCTGAGCGCTTAACCACTGTACCACCAGGGGCAGGAGAGAAAATCCAGGAGAGGTGCTGGGGAAGGGAGGGAGCTTGGAATTGGTGGGGAGTTTCTAGGAGAAGACTTGGATTGCTCAGGAAGAGTAAAGGGACAGAGGACAGGGAGGGGGTGTTGGAGAGGCCAGAACTCAAGGGTTAGGAGCTCTGGGGAGACCCTCAAAGTCGGGGAAGAGGAGAGAAGAGGGAACTCTGAAAAGAGAAGAAGGGGTTCCTACTGGAAAAGGGGCTTCTTGAGGGGAAGGGGCAGTAGGTGTGAAAGAGGGGGGTAAATGTCCCAAAGACAAAGCAGGAGCAACAAAAGGGTAGGGAGTCATATCCAGTTCCAAGATCTCAGGTGGATGGGGAGGAGGCGGCTCAGAAGGGAAGTCCAGGGAGGTCAGAAAGAGGTCCGAAGTTTCAAACAGGCGAGAGGGCACAGCTTCAAGAGAAAGGAAGAAGTGTCAGACTGACAGAGTGGAGGTGGAAAAAGAAAATGGGTGGTTCTGTTCCCTCCCCCGCCCTCCCCCACCTCCTTTGGGTAAACAGCAAGAGGGATGGGGCCAGTGGACTATGGCGCAGGACACTTACCATCGCTGGACACAAGCTGGGCAAAGCCACCCTATGGACAGAAGAAAGGAGGGTGGTGGGTGTTGGTGTCACTGAATTCACCACCTCTCACCAGGGTGGGCGCTGCTGCCCCTACCCCCACCCCAGTTCTGACACCTGCCTTGAATCCCCTTCTTTACTGTTCCAAAAGAACACACAGTCATACGCACACCATCTTACACACATACACACACACATCCCATCCCAGGCTGGTGAGTCAAAACCAATTCTACACCTGCTGCGTGCAAGGGCAAAACCGAAAGGGTGTGGGAGAGAACTGAGGAGAGGACGGTCCCTCTGGGGCTCTTGGTAAAGGTCCTTGGGGGTGGAGCAAACTGCATTCCATTCATAACCTGGTTAACTGTTTGCATTCCAGCAGTAATCTGGCTAACTGTTTGCATTCCACTGGTGTGGCGCTGTGGGTTAATGCGCTAGACTGCAAAGCCATTTGAACTATAAGGTCAGTGGTTCAAGTTCACCAGTAGCTCCTTGGAAACCCTGGTTGCTATGGGTCCGAACCGATTCGACGGCACTTAACAACAACATTAACCTGGTTCACTGTTTGCATTCCACTAGTAACCTGGTGCGAACCTTAATGTCAGCGGTTCGAAACTACCAGCTGCTCAGCGGGAGAAAGAAGAGGCTTTCTACTCCCGTAAAGATTTACACCCTCGGAAACCCTGTACAGGGTCGCTATGGGTCGGAACCGACTCGACGGCACTTAACAACAACAAAGTAACCTGGTGCAGTGTACTGGGACAAGGTCAGTTTTAACTGTAAGGTCGGTGGTTCAAACTCACCAGACTCTTCTCGGAAACCCTACACAGGGTCGCTGTGAGTCAGAACCGACTGGTTGGCACTTAACCACAACAACATTAACCAAAAGGTTGGCAGTTTAAAACCACCCAGGAGTGCCATATAAGAAAAGCCTCCCCATGTGACAACCGATCAGCCCCATAGGATTTCTTATGGATAGCAGTACGGATCGGTTCTAAGGAGCTCTGGCAGCGTAGTGGTAACGAATCGGGCTGTGAACCTCAGAGTCAGTAATTCGAAACTACCAGCTGTTCCGCGGGAGAAAGATGAGGCTTTCTGCTCCGTTGTTGTTAAGTGCCGTCGAGTCGGTTTCGACCCATAGCGACCCTGTACAGGGTTTCCGAGGGTGTAAATCTTTACGGGAGTAGAAAGCCTCATCTTTCTCCTGCGGAGCAGCTGGTAGTTTCGAACCGCTGACCTTAAGTTTCGCAGCCCGATTCGTAACCAGTACGCTACCAGAGCTCCTAACCCTGTACAGGATCGCTATGAGTCGGAACCGACTCCGCGGTACATCACAACAACAACGGAGCATTCTGCTCGAACATAAACTCTCCATGAGTGAGAATCGAGTTTCTGCCAAGGATTTGAGTTTGGATTTGGAGATTTTGAGATGGCAAGTACCCCCATCCCAGGAGTCCAGGAGGAAAAAGCGGTTCTCCGGATTCAGGAATGGAAGTGGTAGTTCCTTCCACAGTTAGATTGGAAGAAAAAGTCCCCCTGGGAATCAGGATGGATAAAAGGTCGCCTCTTGGGGCCCAAGATGCAGAAGCGATCTCCCTGGGGTCCTGGATGGAGAAGGATCCTTTCGATATCCTTCCTCCGGGCGGGATGCAAAAAGGGTCTGCCAGAAGTACCGGGTGGAAAAGGGAGCGACCTTAGGGTCGGGATGAAGAAGGCGTCTACTGGAAGATCCAAAATAAAATGGGGTCTCCCCGAATACGCTGTAGAGGAGGAGTTTCCCCAAGGTGCCTGGTGGAGAAGCCCGGAGCCCGGATGGAGTATTTCATCTGGACTGTGGAGTCTCTCTCCGTGGCGCCGTAGAACCCGGGTCGGGACGCGCCTTACCTGTTGGGGGTCGCGGCCGTGGACTTGGAACAAGTTCCCGGGGCTGGGGTGAGAGCTGGGTGCCGGGCGGGGGGCATCGGGCACTACCCAGGAGATCACGGCGCAAGCGGCACAGGCGGCGGCCACCAGTAATAAGGCAGCGCCCAGCACCCAGTCGAGCGGTCGGCAGGTGCGGGCGCTGGGCGCCGGCGACAGGGTCTCTGGGTCCCGGACGACAGTGGTGAGGGCGCGCATGGCCAGCGGCGGGAAACTGCCAGTTGGCGTCTGGATCCCGGCAATTTATAGCAGTTGATCACCCTGGGCTTTCCAAGGGTGGGGCGTCCCCAGTGGGCAGGCCACCCAGTCACCTGACTCTCGGTCGCGCTCTGGGACGGACTTGCACCCCTCCTGGCCCTCCCCTTCCGGGCCGAGTCACTCTTACTTGATTCCAGCTTGCCCAGTAACTTTCTCCTCCGGCTTCTCGTCGCCTCGGGGGACTCCAGCCCTGTCCCCTTCACCCGCGCGCACCCCATCTCCTCTTTCTCCCTCTGCCTCGCTCTCTCTCTGCGTCCCAGCTCTGTGTAATGGGGTGTGGGGGCGATGCCTCTCTGGAACTCTGAAATACAGACGACCTCCCATGAGTGGTTGAGAGCAAGCTTGTGAGCGCCAAGCCAAACACTTATTAAATACACAACAAACAGGACTTTCGTGCAGTGCATGAGCAGTGTCTCAGCTTCTTTGCATCTCTCTTAATCTTTCTTTGACTCTGCAGGGAGTGGAGGTGTCTCATCTCTGCCTCCTCTCTGTGCTTGTCTCTGTGTCTGTTTCTCTCTCCCTGTCCCTCACTTTCTGTGTGATTTACTTTATCTCTTTCCCTTCCTCCTCGTCACACCAGACCCCCATCCTGGAAGCCATTCTGCAGAGATGGAGCACACACGTCCTCCCCTCCGCCAACGTGCTCAGCCCTCCCCCTCTCCCCCTCACTCCCTAAGACCGTGGGCCTTCCCTGGTCTGCCCCCACCCACCCACTTGGATCCTTCCCATCAGGAACCTCTCAGACCCCACAAGCCTGGAGAGTCCAGGCTAAGAAATCCCCCTGCCAAGAAAGGGAGAGTCTTCTGGGAGAGGGTAGAAACTAGGATTTCCCGTTTGCTCAGCTGTAGGTGGGGGTGGGAGGACCAGCCAAAGCCGCCCCTAAATGAGGAAGCTCCCGGTTGTAATGTGGTGACACAGGAAAATCCTACTCTGCCTAGACCAGCTTGGTGGACATTGGCCAGCTCTCTCCCTCTCCCTGGACCTCACTTTCTCTATGGAAAATGGACAGGCCAACCGCCTCTCTCAACCCATCCAGTAGGGTCAACCGTCCATGGGATTGCTGGGGAATCTGGGTTCAACTGCATGTAATATTGTGATACCATCTGTGTTTGATCCTGTATTGGGCTTCCCTGGGGAATCACAGAGAGTAATAATGATACCAGCTGGCTCTGTGATCGATGCTTCTGTTAAACCACCCCATCTGTGTTCTCCCAGTGTGCCACCTGAATCCCCAACACCAGCATTACCTGGGAACCTGTCAGCTACGCAGATTCCAGCACCCCCAAGCAAGATTCTGACTCACGGAGACCCCACGTGTCTCAGAGTAGAGCTGTGCTCCACAGGGCTTTCAAGTAAATCTCCAAGTTATTAATCCAAGGTGCCTCTGGGTGGGGTCACTGACATTTCCAGTTAGTGATTGAGTAACTAACCCGTAGCAGTATACCGGGACTCTATAGGATACCTTGGTTCCTTCCAATTTGGGGGCGTTATCAATAAGGTGGCACTTAAAAACAACAAGCATTCATGAATAGGTTTTTGTATATTCATGCATTTTTGGCTTGTTGTTGTCAGGTGCCATCGAGTCGGAACTGACTCATAGCGACCCCATGCACAGCAGAACGAAACAATGTCCGATCCTGGGCCAACCTCACTACCACTGCCACACTTGACGCCATCAATGATGCCACCTGGCTGATCCATCTCGTTGGGGGTCTTCCTCTTTTTCTTTGACCCTCCACCCTACCCAGCATGACATCCTTCTCCAACGATTGTTTCCTCCGGACAATATGTCCAAAGTAGGAGAGACGAAGCTTAGCCATCCTGGCCTCCAAGGAGCACTCTGGCTGCACTTCTTCCAAAACAGATCTATTGGTTCTTTTGGCAGTCCATGGCACTTTCAGTATTCTCCTCCAACACCACAACTCAAAGGCATCAATTCTTTTACGATCTTCCTTATTCACTGTCCAGCTTTTGCATCCATATGAGGCTATTGAAAACACCATGGCCTGGGTCAGGCGCACCTTAGTCCTCAAGCTGACATCTCTGCTCTTCAATTTTTTTTTTTTTTTGGCTTATGTGGGTAAATATCTATTGCGTCTCCCCATCATTAAACAGTTAAGTGCTCAACCAACCCAGAGGTGGCCAGGGGGCAGATGCCAATCTGTGGTTTAGTGAGCCTCCCAGAAGATGCTGATGCTCAATCAAGTTTGATTTGCCAAGGTCAGCGGCGGACCTACCCCCTGCACCCCGAATCTGCCGTTGGTGGACTCCTTGCCATTCGTGTATCAGTTCAACCCATCTGTCTGTTGTTCATGTTCGTGGGTACCATGGAGTTGATTCCGAATTATAGCAGCCCCAGGTGACAAAGTAGGACTGTCCTCTAGGGCTCCTAGGGTGTCATCTTTATGGGAGTCGATCTCCTCAATTGTTGCTGAATAGATTGCAACCACCGACCTTTCACTTAGCAGCCGAGTGTTCTAAAGCGAGACTTTGAACATGGTGAAGGCAGCCAGAATAAAGGCATTTGCAGAGACTAAATCAAAGTAGAAAACTTGGAGTGGTGGTGGTTCATAGTTTAGGTGTTCATATTTTTCTTCTTAGTTGTTGTTGTTGTTAAGTGCTATCGAGTCGGGTCCGACCCATAGCGACCCTGTACAGGGTTTCCGAGGGTGTAAATCTTTACGGGAGTAGAAAGCCTCATCTTTCTCCCGCGGAGCGGCTGGTAGTTTCGAACCGCTGACCCTAAGGTTCGCAGCCCGATTCGTAACCACTACGCTACCATTGTTGTTAAGTGCTATCAATTCGGTTTGGACTCATAGTGACCCTGTATAGGGTTTCTGAGGAGCAGCTGGTCAGTTTGAACTGCTGGCCTTGTGGTTCAAACCAACCTTTCGGCCTAGTGCGTATCCTAAAGTGCTACACCAGGACTCGTTACAGAGTGAAAAATAGTGGGGGTTCTGGACAGAAGATCCCAGTTAAGGATGTCTACGCTCAAAGCAACAGTGATGAGCAAACCTATGCACATGAATGCTGGATGCTAAGATCCCTGGACCTTCCCCACCACCCCACCACAACTAGGCTCCCAGGCACCAGCAGATGGGAGAGGGAAGAGTCCTTTCTGGAGAAACTTACTGGTGGGAGAACCAGGCTCTCTGGGATAAGTATTGATTAGTCTATTGATCAGAGGTGTAAAATGATCCATGTACAGTTTTTCTCCTTTAGATTATTTTGTATTTGTTTAAAATAATTAAAAAAAAAAAAGTTTTGTCAAAATATAAAGACATGACTGAAAGCTGTTGACAGGGTTCTTTTACAAAATTATAATAATTATTTAATTGTTTCTGTTTGTTCTTGTTTTGCCTTGTAAACTAGCGCCAAGGAACTACAGCAAATACATTTTTTTTTTTAAGTGAGATAATCTCTCATTTAATCTATCAACTTGACTGGGCTAGTTGTTACGTGGTGGTGTGCCGTGGAGTCGGTTCCAACTCATAGCGACCCTGCATAAGGTTTCCAAGGCTGTAAATCTTTACGGGAGCAGAAAGCCTCATCTTTCTCCTTCAGAACTGCTGCTGACCTTGAGGTTAGCAGCCCAACTCGTAACCAGGTTGTTGTTGGGAGTCACCCTGAATTGGGGCCCAACTTCATGGCATCTAACAACAACAACATATGTATATCTAAGGGATCCCAGTGGCACAGCAGTTAAGCACTTGTGTGCTAACTCAAAGGTTGGAGGTTCAAACCCACCAGTGGGAGAAACATTTGGCAATCTACTTCCATAAAGATCTACAGCCTCCGAAACCGTGTGGGGGCATTCCTACTCCATCATCTACAGCCTCGAAAAGTTGGCATCAGTTTGATGACATACAATATATCTATTTCTATATCAAAAATCAAGAAAGAAAACCTTTGCGATTGAGTCCATTGTGACTCATAACAACTCTGTGGACCAGAGTAGATTGCGCCTTAGGATTTCTGAGACTGCAAATCTTTATAGGAGCAGGTAGCCTCATCTTTCTCCCGAGGAGTGGCTGGTGGATTTGAACCATCAATCTTACAGTTAGGAGTCCAATGCTTAACCCACTGCCCCAGCAGGGCTCTTGGTGGTTCAATTCGTAGAACCCTCCCATCCCATGCAGGAGACCCAGGTTCAATTCCCACCAAAAGCACCGCGTGCCCAGTCACCACCCATCTGTCCATAGAGGCTTGTATGTTGCTGTGATGTTGAACAGGTTTGAGCAGAGCTTCCAGACTAAAATAAGACCAGGAAAAAAGGCCTGGTGATCAATTTGCAAGCATCAGTCAGTGGAAACCCACTGAAAAGACAGTGAATACAGATCACAATGGAATCTTGTTCAATCCTCAACCAACCATGGGTTTGGCAAAGGACTGGGTAGTATTTTGTTCCTGGTGTGTGGGCTCACCATGAGTTGGGGGCCAACTTAACATCAACCAACTCCACCCCCATACTCACAGGTATTATTTCTCCCACACACCCAATCCAGGCTGCTCAGTCTGTTGATTGCCTTCATTCTAAGCCACAGACTGATTGGGAAAATTCCCTTTCCAATTAGCAAGGCGACCATAAGAGAAATGGAGACCAACTACTGCAGCCCCAGGACACCCAGATGAACATGTCTCTCCCAAACGGATGTGTATCTTCCTCAGACGTATTGCGTCACCCCCATCAGACTTTCTAACCAACAATTTCCATCATCCTTTTATCTGTTTTTGATCTTTTATCTGTTTTCCCCACTAGAGTGGAACCCTAGGGGCCGCAACTTTATCCACCTTGTTGCCTTTGTCTATCCAGTGCCAACAACACTTCAGGCCTCTAGACCCCCACCAAGCCAAACTGGTTGCCATTGAGCCCCTTCTGACTCATATCAATCCTAGAGGATAGGGTAGAAGTATCTGTAAAATTCTGAGGCTGCAGATCTTTACAGAAGCAGATTGCCTCATCTTTCTCCTGAGGAGCAAACCGCTGACATTTTAGTTAGCAGACCAACACTTAACCCACTATACCAAGCTTCCTTCTATGTTTCAACCAGCACACTCATTTTTGGTAGTTGCAGAAACGAAGGCTCCCAAAGATGAAGTCACTCAACCCAGACCACACTGTGATTGCTTTGAAGGCCTCTCTGGGCTGGGGAGCAGGGCTGGGTCTATACACCCTGTCAAGGAGGGAGAACAAGCCCACACAGCTAGGGATCATAGT